TGTACGCTGTTAAGCAGCACGCCCAGGGAATTCATAAACAAATTTGAGGGTCGTCAATCGCAACTGGACTTGCTTGCTCGGGGGAGAATCGAGTTGGAGCGGCGAGAGGGACGGCGATAATTGTAACCCTCCCAATTAAAAGTATAAAGTTATACCTGAGTTGTAGGATGATGCGAGAAGATAATTTGTTGGGTGAAAGTATCAAAGATTTGCGAGGATCGGGCACTTGTACATTGTTCACTTCGCAATGTGTGGTGACGAAATTGACAATAAAAATTTTGTTTTTCGAAAGGAACAAGCACAAACGAGTTTAATTATCGAATTCACACGATATGATTACTCTCATTCATCAGGCGTTCTAATCATAGACACTCGTAATAAACATCTTCATTATTATTATTATTATTATTATTATTATTACGTTCGAGGAAAATGGCATTAATACTTTGTTGGTACAGTACTCGTAATTATCGATGGACGATGAACGACAATCATTCACCGACATTGCTTGCGGTTGATTAATCATGCACATACTCCTGGGATGCCTGACGTTCGTAAAATCAAAGATAAACGCCGATAGAGCGTCAATTAAAAGTGGTAACGGCAAATCACGTTCCTCAGCATAAAAAAGAAAAGAAAAAAAAAAAAAAAAAAAAACGAATCCATAAAACACACAGAAGCGAGCGTTCAAGTTCCCGACATAAAATCAGCTTTATTACGAGAGTGGAAGAGAATCGAAAAAAAAAGAAAACCAGAGAAAAGTCACGTAATTTTCACGGCCCCCCCGGGGGTATAGGAATCGTAACTCATTTCACCGATAAATATTCATGGGATTACAGCTCCCACGCGCGACTAATCACACCTGAAAAGTGTCTACCTTCTTCGTCTGGCTGGAAACGCGTACGCAGGCGCTTTCTTCGTTTCCTCACCATCCTCGTCGATGATGGAGATAATTCATGAATGTATTCGCATGAAAAATCAATTAACGTACACCACCATACGTGCGGACGGCTCTTCTTTTTTTTTTTTTTTTTTCTTACTCGGTTGTATGTACGCGGCCGAGCGTGTACCATTTATCGATCGACGCGAGGAAAATGCGGTGTAAATTTTTATTCCCTCCGTATCCTCGTATAAGACGCACACCGCAACTGTTGCTCGCGCGAACATTCATGCACAGCAGAGCGAGGCATCACCGATAATTAAATGTTCCTGAAATGACAGTGTTCGCAAAATCGATAAGGATACCGCCCGTGATTTCAATAATTAAGTTTCTTTTGGACTATGGCAGAGCCGAGCTTCATTAATTTCGTCCAAGGAATCGCAGGAATCCCAGAGGGGAAAAAAAGGATCAAGCATATCTGCGCTGGGGGAGGTGGGGGAGAGGAAAAATACCGCGGCTGGGAAATTAATTGCCCGAAACAAGGGGCCACTTCGCACTCGGACGCGACAGCAAATTCGAGTCTTTATCGCTCCCGGACAGCGAGCCTCGTGTAAATTAAAAAACTTTAATGCCTCCCAACGCTCGGGTATTACAAAAAAAAAAGGGACGCTTCCTGCGCTGCGCTTTTTTGCACCAGCAACTCGAGAGAGAGAGAGAGAGTGTAAATAACAATAATAACGAGAAAAAGGAGGAGGGAAAAGGAAGAATGAAGAATCGTACACACACACGTGCAATTATCGTTATTACACGGGTACGTTCATTTGCGTGTGTAAATGCAGCCGGACGCGAGGAGAGAAAAAAAAGCTAGGAGTCTTGGAGCGTCATCTTTCCTCTCTTTCTTGTGTGCCCGGCGCGGCGCGCAGTCTAGTAAATTACCATAAATTAGTAATATTTTCGTGAGCGCGTGCTCCCTCTCTCGCCCTCCTTTTTTTTTTTTTTTTCCTTTCTTTCTGCTGCCTCGCACGAAATTCCGTACCCTCGTGCGCCAGCACGATTCGTCGATTTCGAAGGATCCTCGACGCGTGACGGCGACTCGCACAAAACACCGGCCGACCTCCACCCTCTCTTTAGCATCTGTCCTCCTCCTCTTCGCCCAGCAGAGTCCCCTACGAGCGTGTCTCCTCGTAACCAAAGCCGATATCCTTTTTTTTTTTTTTTTTTATGCCCCTTTAAATTTTGATTTTTGATAGCTGTGTTTTATCGCCCCCATTGGCGCGCCCAGTGATTTATAGGCTACCGGGCTCTCCACGCCGTGGAATTCCACGATTCGGTGCCCTGTGATCTGTCGGGGAGAATTTCAGCAGAGCCGCGAGCGATCTCCAAATCAGGATGGATCCAAGGAACATGCCACAACGAGGGTCACTCCGTTAGCGCAATTAACTTAATTACTGTGAGAATAGGGCGTTCGGAGGCTAGACGCGGCTATAACGCGCAGGGACAATATTGACACGCTCGTTTTTTTGTTATCCTCTTGGCACTTTCAGTTTTCGGCTGGTCCGAGTCTTTTTTTTTCTCTTGAAAAAACACGAGATTTCGGCTCTCTACCTCTTGTAACGTCGGAATTCCCACGGCGCGTGGGACTCTAGCCCGCCGATTACCATTTTTTCGCTGTGTGCCACTAACATTCGCGAAATGAGAGTGTCCCAGGACTTTTCGCGATTCACTAACTCGGGCTAACCAACGCGACAAACACTAGGAGATGCGAGCACTTACTGGCTAATCGAGTCCTCTTCGTATATGTATAGGCAGGACTTTGCGAGGACGTGAAAATTATATTGGTCGACTCTGAGTTGTCCCTTCGTGAAGCATTTAGCTATTGTTCGTATATGGTTGCTCGCTAAAAATCAATCAGTGCCTCGTTTCATTGGAAGGGCTGGGAAGCACGTTTCGGGGAAGGTTTCGCATAAATCGGAGAAAACGACAGGGTACATAGTGCAGGGAATCCTGAAAAATAATCTTGCACAGTTCGCATACGTGTAAGACATTAAACTCTCGGAGGATTACCGATTTCACCATTAATAAACACACCGTGTGATTCATACGAAGGGTTGTTTTTTTTTTTTTTTTTCTCCGGGATTCCCTGAAACTCTCGGGTTCAGTGCCGATGCGCTGATCCATTAATCAAAATTCCACGCGCGCGCGAGAGACAGATATACATACACAAAGGAAGAAGGAAAAAAAAAAAAAAAGAGAAACAAGTGTGATCACTAATTTTGGTATCCGAAAAAGTACGTCCGTACGCGCCGAAGCGTCATTTTTCAAAGTCAATAAAAGACCTTGCGCCTCAAAGAAAAAAAAAAAAAAAGAAAGAAACTGAGTTCGGAAAACATCTCATTTCAATATTTACCCGGCCCACAGATACAGTTCACACACAATGGGAAAAATCCCGTGCGAAGCGTCGCATGAGCGCCGTATCGAGTCAAGTGAACGATGTGTAAAAAGAAATGGGGGAAAAAGGGACGATCAAGGGAGGAAAAAGGGTTCGATGATACGAGTATTATATATATGTAGCACGGGCACTTTGGACAAAGAGAGAAAAAGGAATCCCAGCATCAGCAACGTCGTCCAGGTACCTTACGTACACGCGCGCGCGTGCAAAAGCGCGCCCCTGTTCAAATATTAACTCGGAAAACAGAGGAGAGGATATACTTGCCTGGATCTCTGATCTCTCTGTCGACTCATATGTATACATGTACCTACGCTCGCTCGCCCGATGGTTTCGTAACACCGGTAGCTCGACGTTTACACGAGAGTCTAGAGTATACACATGCCCCTCGGTTCTCCTTCTTCTTCTTTTTTTTCCCTTCTCCCGTACACTTCTTCCCAAACTCCGGTGAATCCTTCGTCCTCCTGTTTGTTGAGGCACCTACAACCTCGAGGCTTTCTCGTTCTCGTGGGCTTTTTTTTCTCTCTCACGGTCTTTTCGAAAGCGTATACGTGGACACATTCAGCTACCTGCATAACCATTGGTCAAAGTTTGAACAACCGGTGGTTATTTCACCAACATAGCTGCCAATAACTGACTTTGATTTGGTTGGTAGAGCACAAGTTTCGGTATCTCCAGAATATTACATCCATCACATGGTGCGGGACAAGGAGTAGTAGTCTCTTTACTGTGAAAGGGCAAGTGAGTGTAACAATCCGACGCTCTCATCATGTGACATCCGAAAGTAATGAAACTAAAGGCAATGAAGCTAAGAAGGCCACAATATCATTTTTTTTTTTTTTTTTTCTAATGAAACGAACAAAAATAAGATATTTAATCGGAAACCTTCCGAGGTAAGACAAGATGATGCCCTGACTGTAAAAACACAATGACGTGTTGTTTACATCGGAAAGCACCCAATCGTATTTTGGGCGTGTGATGTTTATCACCCTCGCCCCGGGGATATCCTTTCCGATGAGTATCCCATTGTCATCCCGGGGATTCCCCGCAACACTGCGATAGAGGCGAGATAAAACGTGCAGCAGCAAAAAATCGTCAACAACAAGCCAACGAGAGCATCTTCATTTGAAAGAAACCAAAAGATATAAGATACGCATAGCGCCGTAACAAGAAACGCCGGAATGTGTCGAAAGACACGCTTGTACCTACTTTGCCTAGATGTAACGTCAGAGTGTGGGAATTATCGAAACTGACCCACTTTCAACGCCACAGTCCGATCTTGACCGCACAGTTCAAGGAGCTCCCGTACACAAGCCTAGAATCGTCGCCCTCGACTGGCGATCGAAGCGAAATAGAAGTAAAAAAACAACAAGCCCGAGATCATAATGAATCGCACGAGAAGAAATGACGTCATCAGCGGAGAGAAAAGCGCGAGAGCAAGAGAGAAATAATACTCATCACCGCCAATCGCGAGATAATAATCCCGAAACCAGTTTCCTACGGGAAAAGAAGGAAAAAAAAAAAAAAAAAAAAAAAAACACATATGTGTTGGACGAGGAGGCGCCGATACTCTCCGCGTTTGACGCAATCCATAAAATCCCAATGACCGGCCGGGCTTTGGTATAAATTCGCCGTCCGAGCAAGCACCTCGACGCACTCGCCGTTAGCCTCGGTTGGCAAAAACAAGTCCGGAATCGCTTGAATCAAGTTTATCCTCGAAATGACCGTCAAGTCCGTCGCGTTGTTGACGACAGTCGTCGCGCTAGCGGCTCTTCAGCTATGCGATGCCGGCCTGTTGAAGGATTTCGGCCGAGGTGCCGAAAACCTCGGCTCGGCCATCAACAAAGGCGCCGCCAAGGCTGAGGACAAGCTGACCAGTTTGTTCGGCGGTGGCAAGAAGAAAGAGGAGGAGAAGCCCGCGGTGCCCAAGGAAAGCGTCTTGCCACCTGCCGTGTTGTCCAAGTCGCCCTTCTCGGAGAAGATGTACGAGGACTCGGATGCGCCCTCGATCGAGATCGTGTACAAGTCGGAGGCCGCGAGCACGACGCAGAAGTCATCGTGGCACGGGGCTGCTGTCATCACCGACGACACCGAGTTCGATGACGACCAGGACAGGGTGCCCAAGAACGACGAACAAGAGCGGGAGTCCATCGTGGGTGCGCCTAGGTGTGCTCCGGGGGAGGTTTACATTAACCAGGGCTGCAGGACTCTCGAGTAGGAGGATCGCATTGCACCGTGCTTTTTGTGGAAATCTGATTTTGAGGTAATTAATACGACGCGCGTGTTGTTTATCGACGAAACGGAACATTTATTGGGCATCGGAATGGGTGAAGAATTTCATTGGAAATTCTGGTTTTTATCGGGTTAGCTGTGTGGTAGAGCAACTTTTTTTTAATATTACACGAGTCTTTTTTCTTTTCGATGTTCACGTGTTTACAAAAGGAAGGGGTTGCAAATGCACTTGTTTATCTATGTAATATATAACAATTACGTAAATTAAGATGTTTCATTTGAAGGACACTACCCTACATCTTGTCACAAAATCACGTACGAGGATTCTACTGTATTAGTCCATCGAGAGAAAATAAAAGTTATTGCGCCGAAATGGTAATCCAAAGTCATTCTCCCGTTTAGGGACTTAATAACTATGGCCACTGGGTTTTCATTATTTTGGACGTCATTTGTACGGTACGATCGATAAAAATTACTGTTTTTACATAAATAAAGATTGTTGTTGAAATAGTAAGAAATCTCTAGACGACTGAACAGGACCGGATTACCATTTTAGCACGGTAATTATTATTATTTGTTTTCTCCCAGTATCGGGATCACACATAAATGCCTTTGTAATTTGAGAGAAAAAAACATACTCGTTTTCCCTTAGAGTATTTTTAATCAATCGAAAATAAATTCAAGTTGGTATTATTTTTCTGTTCCAGACCTTGATTGTTGCATAAGTCGTAGACGAAGAAGAAGGAAAAAGAATTTGCCGATGATGCCGTTAATAACTGTAGAACGAGAGAGACTGACGCTTACATAATTCCAAACAACATTCGTTCGACCAGTTTTTTTTTTTTTTTTTTTACTCCTCACGAGCGAGACGAGCATAATAACACACTTTGCTAACGTTTATTCGCCGATTAATCGCTGAATCGAAAATATTTTCGCTTCGCACAAATTCATTGTACACAAATCGTTTTCTTATTCATCATCGAAATAGTTGTACGTGCAAATAGTATTACCACACTCGAACAACATTTATACTTGTTTCTTTCTTTTTGTTTTTTGCAATTGTTTTGTAAATTTTTATAAAAATATACACCGATCCAGCAGCCTCTTTGTTCGCAATTCCACCTTATATATTTGTCCTATAAAAAAAGAAAGAAAAAAATGTACAAAAAAATCGAGCAGTACCAAACAGCGGCCCACGACATTGTACAGCCTAAAACAGAAATTTCGCAAGCGCAGAGCGTCTCTTGCTTACATACACGCTCTCCAAGGACCCATCACGCGTCCCACGAGCCATTTCTCTCCCGCCGACGCAGGAAGAGACGTCGCGCACACATTCTCGCACACTCAGCCATCAGAGACCTGCAAGAGGAAGGTAAAAAAACACACACACACATACCTATACGTACACACGCGCAGTCGAGACGAGCGACGAGGAGAAGAGGACCCATACCCGTCCGAGGTAGACAGTTGGGCGCCCGCCAGGAGGAGAGAGAGAGAAAGGGTCCCGGCTCGGGACCTCAGGTAGCTCTGCAGCCATTCTCGTTTCTCCCCTTCGCGTCCTGGGGCCCTTCTCCCCCCCCCCTGCTGCGGGGCCCCTGCACGCTCTCTCTTTTCCACGAGCGAGGGGAGAGAAAACGCACACACTTTGTATAGCAGCTACAGGCACGAAGGCGAGAAAAGTTTCGGGAGGCAAATTTAATAAACGATGAATATATACTTTGAGCTTCGTGCTCGTCGGTGTAGGTAATATTATACATGATTGTTTCGGATTGTTTTCACCGGAACGAATCGCCCAGCGGTAAGTAACTGACGACACACTGCGCGCCGATGCAGGGGGAAAAAAAAAAATTAAAAGTAGATTACTTCGGTGCTGAATCATTACCATCATCATCTGCGAACTGTGAAATGTGCTTAGCTTCACTTGTCGCGCGTCCTCGCACTCATGCACATAACAAAAGGAGCGTTCCTACATCTCATATAACTAATCGATAGCGGACTCGAGGTCACGGGTAAATATTTTTATTGCCCCAAAATATATGGGGTCCTACGATTTTTGGGTGTGAAACGAGAAGCACGGCTTTCCGATCTTCTAATTGTTATACCAATGTGTTATTTGCATGTTCATCGATACTCGTGTAAAAATAAAGAGGGGCCGGATCGCGTGTTCACAAATATTTTTTCAAGGCCGGCGTATTATACCATCGCACTTCCGTCCTCTTCGAGCCACCTGATTTTTATCTCGTTCCACGGATTCTTCCGACAATCACCCAAATCCGTAAAATCCATCCCTGTGCGTCCCCATTATCGTTCATTGTTCCTCGCCCTGCGTCATTTCCTCACAATATACATATGTGTACGTATAAGGTGTACTTTATAAGGACGACTTTCACGTCGTCCCCAAAAAGACCAGACGAACAAGTGAAAATCCATAATACCACCATACACATACAGGGTAACAATACATAGTCCTGCGTACTTATCCCGAAAACGCACGGAATCTCGAAAAATTTATCACCCGCTCAATCGCACGGAGCTCGGATAGTACGTAATATATGGTTGCGCGAACGACAGTACATTACCCTCTACTTGTACACACATACACACACAGCTCTGGCTTGCCTGACGAAAACGAGAGCAAGTAAGCGTAGGTACACGGGGGGAGAGAGCTGGTACGTACCCCATGCGTGTATATATATAGCCGAGTTCGAGTGCACCTGGGCGAGCCGGTCCCACCCTCCCCTCCGACATCGTCCCTTCTCTTTGTCCATGAGCGCGTACGCGCGCGCAAATCCTTTTTTTTTTTTTTTTTCTCTATTTCCTCCCTTGCTCTATTTTATGTTTGCTTACGTTTGATGTCGGGATGATTTTTCGGGAAAAAAAGTAGATCGTGACGCGTATAGGTACACTTAAACATTTCCCAGACGTCATGACGACGAAGGAAGCGAGCCGGATGAACGGGGAGAGCGAGGAAAAAAATTGCGCACATATGCATGAGTCTATTGGGTGTGTACAAAGGGGGGTGGGGTGAAACTTTGCTGGGCAAGCCGATGACGAGCGCCTGGTATACATTGTTCGTGTGATTACAGGGACGAGAGAGGAGCCGTCCCGTTGCCCCGTGACTGTAGCTTGTGTACTTTGTTGCATGCGATTTCGTCGTCTGACGACATTGCCCCTGCTTCGATTGAATCCGATTGATCGATCATGGCTTTTTACTCGGAATTATTGAAAAAAACACCAGCGACAAGCGTAACGATAGAAAACAAACAATCAAGAGTCACTTGTTGGAAAGCCATTACAAGCACGAGAGGGAAACAACTTGCGGGGGTGGGAGTACACCGTGTAAAAAAAGGGGCACACACGATACACAGTAATCGTGGAAAGCCAAGTGTGAATACATATATATATATATTTATGTGGGGCTCAAGAGGTATACAAAACCGCAAAGAGCTATACCATTGTTGTACTTGTACGGTGATTGGTGGTAATGCGAATATGTGCAATGTACAAGGGTAGGTATACGAGAACCCTCGAAAGCTCACGTAGACGGAACGAGGGATCGAACAAACTTTTGCAGGTACAACTGTCGAGGTGTAAAACCATTTTCGCAAGTTTGGTATCAGTGCACGAGCGTAAGTACGGGAATCGAGTGGAGAAAAAGATGTTTGTCCTTCACCTACAAGTTTTTTTAATCATTCACCCAAAGAGTCAAACTTGACGTTTAAAACAAAGGAACAAAGTATGTATCGTCACACAAAGAAATCGATTTAATAACGCGCAGCTCGTACTTTCGTTACCCAATATTATATTCATTCGTATATAGTATAATATGCCCTTGCACGTACATGTATATATATGTATACGACATCGACAATGACCGTCGCAGTCTACTCTGGCACTGCATATCATAAAGTTGTATAGGTGGTAGGGATGTATCGTTGTTCAAGGGTGCTCGAACGAATCGACCGACGCACATGCAGCGTATAATATGGAAGCAACGCACAGAGAGGATGAGCCCGTACGCGAAATTCCGCGCCACCTCGTCTCCCCGCAGCCTGCAGCCGTGCATCATCCCCCCCATCCTTTATATGGTATATACGTATATATAGTCAGAAAATGAGAGAAGGGGAGGATTAGAGTCTTGACTGTTTTCTAACGACTCGAGGTGCAGCAGCAGTGGAGCGCAACAAAGAAAAGCCGGAACCCCCTCGTGCATGCCACCGATGTCAGGGATACTTTGTACAGAGGGGGGGGGAGGGGGTAGAGATTCACGACTTTTGTCCTCTCGCGATGATGCCGCCGAATAAAGGAACTTTTTCCTGCTCTCTGCTCCATCTTTTTTTTTTTTTTTTGCTCTTTCGAGCACTGCGTGCCATGGTAGCTTTTCCTTGCCGCCCCTCGCGTGTATAGGTGTTACACCCATACGAGGAGCGTGTAATAATGAAAACTACCGGTGTTGCAACGATTCATCATATACACACGCACGCACAACAGGTAGGTCGATTGTTTGTTAATGAATACCGGAGAAGCGATTCAAGCTCCCCCCCCCCTCCTATCTGCGTTCCCCGGGCGTTGCAGGTGAAATTTTATTTGCATAATTGTTTGTTCTCCGGAGCTTTTGTCAAAGATCGAGATCTTTTACACCGCCTGTATCTCTCTAGCTGGGTGCACCATATTGTGTACTCGGGCCATTGTGCGCGTACAGTCGTTACAGAGTAGCCCAATGGCTGATGCACGTAACTTTTTCGTGGGTTATTTGTACGTGTACAACAGGTGGTTTGTGTATAATATACCTTCTATAATTGTATAATATCATACGGGCGAGTGTGCAGTTTAAAGTCAAGACACAAGGGACGAAACACTACTTTGTGCGAGGGGAGGAGGCAGCCAGAATTTTTATGAAATTAAATTTGACCTTGTTATGGAGGTGCTTGAATAAATAGCTTGTAAGAAGAAGAAAAAAAAAAAAAAAAAAAAAAAGAAATGAAGCTAAGAAAATGAGTATAAAGACACACAATTTCTCAGGTAAGAAGGGGGTCGCCANAAAAAAAAAAAAAAAAAAAAAAAAAAAAAAAAAAAAAAAAACACGCGTTCGTCGCAATAAAAGTGAATATGTGTGTAAGAGGGTGCGCGCGACGAGCAAGTTATATAGGTATACGCAATTGAAGCAAGTACATGTGTGTAGCGGGCAACATCATCTCGTCGAATGAACGTCATATTTCGGCCCGAGCTCCGAAGAACGAGACTCGACAGGGAGGCTTTACTGTATGGGGAGGCGCGCGATGGCTGTCCCGTGGACGACACAACGACAACAAGGAGTATACGAGGATGAAAGAAAAAAAGAAACGGGAAAGGTACAGCTAGAGGAGGACATACATATATGTGTGTACGGGCAGGTATACGTATACGGAGCGAAGGAAAAAAAAAACGAGAGGGGGGGAGAGAACGGGGAGGTTTCTTGTTACGAGAGCTTCCTGTATGGAAATCAGTGGCTCGGGGGATCTCTCTCTCTCTCTGGAGAAGCCGGCACGGGGGATCGTATACGCGCTCGGGAGTAGCTACTGGTCCTCTTTCTTTTTCTTTTTTTTTTCTTCCCTCGCTCATCTCCGCTCCTTTTCTGTACTGATAATCTCGGGATGAAATCAAATCTAGGCTATACGGACCCCCCCACCCTCCCTACCTATATACCTCGCGCTTACGTCCGAGCCAATATTCCGTGGGTTTCTCTTTCTTGTTATTAGATGTATCTTGGCTCCGTGTGTGTGTGCGTGTACTTGAGCGGTGTAGATTTTTTTTTTTTTTTTTTAATATCCACGCGAGGGGGCTAACAATTATGTTGAGCTCATGTTTGTAAAAGTATACGTATTCGGTGATGTATTTTTTTTTCTCCCAAGGTGGGGGAGGTGGAGAGAGAGAGAAAAAAAAAGCATCGTAAGATGTTGCAGCAACAGGGGGGTGAATTAATACGCGTGTAACCGTATAGTATGATTGATTTGTTAACGCAAGGGCCATTTGACGTGCAGTACTCTCGTTGAGATGACTGTATAAAGTAGGTATTTGCAAGCAAAATTAAAAGCGTAGCAGTGCTGTAATGTGTATACGTA